AAAATCAAAATTTGTAGCAAGTTCGTTTGAGAATCTTGTCCTTGCTATTGGGAAGCAATTGAAAACCCTCTTACCGCATCTGACTTTGCCCGAAGGTGTGAGGGAGCACTGCAAAAACATTGCTGAGGGAGCCTGCACTAGAAGGTTTACAGTAGAAGAAAAGGACAAGAAAGCATTCCAGCATCTGGAACATATTTCCTGTAGTTTAGAGAGTGGAAAGGAACCTTGCAAAAATGATGTGAATTACGTTCTTGAGCATCTAATGATTGATACCTGGAGTGACTGCCATGAGCAGTGTTTGCACCTGGAGAATAAAAGCGCAGAGTGTATGGGCAAAACGGAAACAAAAGAATTGCTTGATCTGCTGGCCTTTCTCAAGTACTGTAGGGTCGTGTATTTCCCACAAATCAATGTGGACATAGAAGTATCCCACGACAAGCTGCCCGCCCGTGAAGAACCCGCCATACCCTGTGTGATTTGTCCAATCACGCTGAGCATTATGTCCGATCCAGTTATCTTGATGTGCTCTGGACACACGTATGATCGTTCTGCAATTGAGAGGTGGATTCTAGATGGGAATGACTCTTGTCCCCTCACTAGAATCCCAATTGGAGACATGGGTATGGTGCTGAACATGGAGATCCGACGTATAATTGAAACAGAATACCCGGTGCAAAAAAGGCCCGACGAGTAAAAATTGGGAGGTCACTGCACTAGGTCAGCTGTGACGGTGAGGAAGATTCTGTCATCTTTTCTAGTGGGACAACTGTGTTCACCAAACGTGGAGAGCGTAGCCAAGGGAGCCTACGAGGTTCAATTGATCGCCAGATGGAATATCAATGACATGGCAGCCTTAGTGGAAGATGGAGTTTTGGAACCCCTCTCTCGAATTTTAGATGGCGCATCAAGCCCCGGTCTGCAGGAGATTGCCATTAGTGCACTTCCAATCCTTTCAAAGGATCTCCACGGGGCAAGAAGAATACTGGCAGGTGGGATTAGATCCATTGTCGAAGTCCTGAATGGTGCCACCACACTCTTTGCCAAACGTATGGCAGCAGACACAATAATTCAGCTGGGCTCGCATGATGAAATTATAAAAGCAGAGGACGCCCTACCAGGACTAATAAGGTTACTTGAAACTGGGGCAATAACTGAGGCAGCGGGGGCAATCTTAGCCATACAGCGAAGGAAGCTCCGCTTGTGCCCTGGGTTGTTAGGCGTTGTTCCCATCTTCATTGATATGATCAGATCCGGGGAGGAAGGTGTCAACACGAAATGTGGGCTGGATCTCCTTAGCCATCTGTCGCAACCGTCCCTCCGGGGGGTCCGTCGGCGTCACGTCGGCATTTTTTTTGGGAGTCGCCATCGATCTTACTTGGAGTGGATCGAACACTCTTCGAATCGGCTCTAACCTTAGGGTCAGAACCGATATATGGTCTGCGATTAAGAGATATGGGTGTAGTTTTATACTTGTTGGGTGTATTTTTATAATAATTTTGTAATTTTTGGGTCTCACTGGACCATTAAATAATTTTAATCATATTGACTGTAATTTAATTATACGCCCACCGACGTAAAAATTTAAAGAGAAAGTTAATTGGTTAGTTGGACTCGAACCTTATCGGTTGCATACGTACCCGTTAGATGGGATCAAAGTCCACGTAGTTCGTTGAAACCTTAATGTTTTAGTTATAACCACGTTCCACTAATCGTAGTCAATTAGATAAAGGATTGCATTTAGTTCTTGAACATGAATAAAGATTTTATGTATATGAAAAGGATGGAATTGACCTAACTTAGACATTATCTCTTGTTTGTAATTTCGTATTAAAATTAGATAATATAATAAGAAGACAGTAAAGATCACAATCTGCTAGCACCGAAATGGTCAGTTTGTTGGAATAACAATCCTCATTACTAGGAGGAGGTCCTCAGTTCGAAACCTAACAAAGGCCTCCTTTCTCATCTTTTTGGTTTTCGTTGAGATTCAGGGAGGGCAGTCTAGTAATTTCTCTAGGCTGAGTATACAGACCTAAAACGAGAAATCCCTCGCTGCCTCCTCGTTTTTTTTCAGTCGGCAGCCCCTCTATCTCCCATCTCCTTTTCGTTCTCTCAATAAAAACGAAACCTAATCCTTCTCAGTTCTCCCTCATTTCATCCTCCGCATCTCTTTTCTGGAAATAAAGAGACAGAGACGAAACAGATAGCCATCCTCCTTTCTTTCTTGCTTCTAGATCCTTCCCAAAGACGAACAACGATACCACCGAAGAACTTTCGATTCTCGATCTACTCCTATCTATCGCCGTTGGCCACAAAAACCCAATCCGATAAACTCTTATCAACCTAGAAGGCTTTGATCTTGGTAAGATTCAACCTGCATGCGTGTTTTCTATCGAGTTTCAGTGTTTATGTTGGTTTTGAGAGTATAACGTGAGTTTCTCTTTTGAGTTTTTTTTTTGGTGCTATGTGACAAGGGGAAAAGGAGGGCGGCGAGACTTCGCCACCGAGGCAGCAGCAGTCGCCGGCGATAGACTCCGTCGAAACCCTTTGGTTCCTCTTCTCGGTGAGTGACAAAATAAATTTTAATCAGGCTTTTTTTCTTTGTTTATTTATAATTTTGACGGTTACCTTTTGCTTTGGGATTTTTGGGATCACGATCGCAAGAAAAAGAGGACAGCGACGTTGCCGCCGGAGCCGGAGCTGCCGCCGGCGAAAGGCAGCCCGAGAAACCTCTCAAACTCTTTCTAGGTAAGCTAGTAACTGAAAATCACAGCCCTTGCTTGTGATTTCAGAACGCAAGAAATTAAAAATTGTTACTTGTTTAGGGTTGGAGTTTAAGTGTATGTATTGGCAATGATTTACGATGAACAATTTGGAGGCCATTGTTGAATTTTGGAATTCTAAACAATTTAAAGATGCCAAAGATTACAGCCTCTGCTTGTAACTTCGGTTCTGAAAAGGGTATTTATTTATTCCGAATTTGGACAAAATTCAAAAGGGTTTTACATCTTTATTGACTGCTTACTAAAGGCTAAATTATACGTTTGGTCACTCAAATTATATAAATCTTTCATGTTTGTCACCCGAATTATTTTTCTTTCTTATACGCCACTAACTTTACGAATCGTTGCACCGTTAGTCACCGGCCGTTACACTCCGTTAAATTTGTCCTACGTGGCAGTCAACTATAAAGTTTGACTGTTAACTAGATGACGTGGAAATTAAAAAAATTAATTTAATTTTCCACCTCATCATTCCACTTACTTTATTTATATGATTGATCCTATTAATTATTTAATAAAAATTAATTATATTAAAAATAACTTTATTACCAAGGAAAATAAATAATAAAAGAACGTGTCTTTTTACTAAGGGGTCGTTTGGATGAAACTTTCTGGTGAGTCAATTGTGCTAAATTGTCTCAAAATGAAGCAATTGCACCACATTGACTCGTTTGGCCACCAAAAAATTAAATGAACCAATTCTATATGGGGAATTGTAGATTGCTTCATTTTGGGTCAATTGCAATTACCTGGGTAGGGGGAGGTTTTGTGAATTGACTCATTTTTTTGTTTCCTTTTCCCAAAGCTACCCTTTTCTTTCCTTCCCCTCTCTCCCCCTCCTGGAACCAATTACGAAACCTTCCTTCTCCCCCCTTTCTCTCTCTCTCTCTCTCTCTCTCTCTCTCTCTCTCTCCCTCTCTCTCACGGATCTGAGAAGATTTTCTTCTTTCCTTATGTGATTAAACCTTAATTCCAAAAATCTATTGATTGATTCTTCAACTACCCATCACTGATTTCTTTCTATTCAGTATTCAACGAGATCCTTCATGTTCTCTTCTTTTTTTTTAAGGAATCTTCCTCTCTTTTTTCTATTTCATGTCTTTCTCTGTAGACGAGCAACAATGGCGAATCACAAAATAGCCAGTCTTCTCTTCCCTTTCTGCTCACGATCTAGGCTTCGAAGGCGAGTCTCCAACATATTTTTGTTGACGGGTGAGTCTCGAATCGCGCCGCCGCCGTGAAGAGATGACTCGTCTCCACCAGAGATGAGGAAAGGGGTTTCTCCAACACCGTTGAGCTGAGTTTCTGGGCTTCTGAAGTGGAGCACCTGATTCGCCTTATTAATACATATTCCACCTCTTAGTGTGAATAGTTGTTGTACAAAAAATCGAACCCAGAAAGATAGAAGCTCGACATAAATAAGGTCGAGAAATTTGCAGAGGACGGTGAAAATTCACCTATTTCAGCTTTCTCCGACGCTCAACCTTTCTAGGTCACTGGAAAAACTGATTGCATGTGAGTTAATTGGTGAATAAGAGAGGTTCTGATTGTAATTTTTGTGCATTATGAACTATCCATAAAGAAAACCAATAAAATGACAAAAAACTTGCAGCAAAACAAGGGATGAGAAACTTGGAGAAGACAAGGATAAATTGGTATTTACTCAAAATGACTCGTATACATTTCCCCATCTCACAGCCTGTTCCAAACGATACATTTTGAGCAAATTTCCTCATCAAAATGACTCATTTTCTAAAATGAATCTTTTGATTCAAATTGACTCATTTTGAGAATGACCCATCCAAACGACCCCTAAGTCAAATCTACTTATAAACGCGTTACTACATGGGTTATGAAAGGATTTATAAACAGGGGAGTCAATGATTTGAATTTACAGTGATTACCATGGCTAGTTCTCAATTCAATGGTAAGAGAGTGACCGATGAACTGATTGCAGCTGTCGAACCTGGCGAGCGTGCTCTTCCTGGGCCTCTTCATGTCCATCATCCTGACCGCGGTTCTGGAGCTGCGATGGAGCGGGGTGAGCATCGAGGATCTATGGCGCAACGAGCAATTCTGGGTGATCGGTGGCGTATCCGCACATCTCTTCGCCGTATTCCAAGGCTTCCTGAAAATGCTAGCCGGAATCAACACAAACTTCACGGTCACGACCAAGGCGGCAGAGGACGCCGAGTTTGGAGAGCTCTACATGGTGAAATGGACGACGGTTCTCATCCCTCCGACGACCCTCTTGATCGTGAACATTGTCGGGGTGGTGGCAGGGTTCTCCGACGCGTTGAACAAAGGCTACGAGGCTTGGGGGCCATTGTTCGGGAAAGTGTTCTTCGCGTTCTGGGTTATACTCCATTTGTACCCGTTCTTGAAGGTTTGATGGGGCGGCAGAACAGGACGCCGACGATTGTGGTGCTCTGGTCGGTGCTTTTGGCGTCTGTGTTCATCCGTGCACTCCACCAAATCGGGGCTCGATGTCTCCATCCGGATCACATCCGTAAGGGAAGCGAATGCTCTGCCTCGGACCACTTCAGCCATCAACGAACCTTTGAATCGGCAGAACCCTTCGCGGGTGCGGGGCAAATCCCAGTCCCATTCCATAACAGTTTGTTGAGCCCCAGTCGCGACCTTGCGGGCTTGGTCGTGGGAGAGGCACTTGTCATAGCTGGAGAGATTCCTCCTCCTCAATGTCGTTCATAATTATTTTTTTAATATAATTAATTTTTATTAAATAATTAATAGGATCAATCATATAAATAAAGTAAGTGGAATGATGAGGTGGAAAATTAAATTAATTTTTTTAATTTTTTTTAATTTCCACGTCATCTAGTTAACAGTCAAACTTTATAGTTAACAGCCACGTAGGACAAATTTAACGGAGTGTAACGGTCGGTGACTAACGATGCAACGATTCGTAAAGTTAGTGGCGTATAAGAAAGAAAAGTAATTCGGGTGGCAAACATGAAAGATTTATATAATTTGAGTGACCAAACGTGTAATTTAGCCGCTTACTAAACATGATTGCTACCTTTTAAGTTGATCTTAAATTTGAGATTGGATTAAAAAGGCGATCACTGAAAAAGCAGAAGTATTTCTAAATACCCTTAAAGCCAAGTTTGTAATATATCTAGGTTGGTTCATGTTTATTCTTCTTAGCTTGGATTGGAAATGGATTGATGTATCTGATTTTCAGAAATACTAGAATCAATACCCGCGGCTACGCCGCAGGGAGTATTTGGTTATAGGGCAGAAAATTTGGTTATGGTCATGCAAACTAACCGAAGTCTGATTCGAATTTTACGATTAATAGTCAATCGAGAACAATAAAATGAAGGAATAGAATAGTTGCATATTTAGTTGTAGATAATCTTTAATGTTTGGTGTAACTGCACACCAAACTGCAAAACAAAATCTTCAAATAATCGCAAAATTAAACTACCCCAAAGCCAAATGGCCTACCCCATTAGGTAACCTAAACCAAAAAGAATGACAAATAGGTTAATTGATTGAACGCAGTTAACCGCAACATAACCAAAAATCATAATATTCAGTTCTCAAGTAACTGCAACAACATCAATTACAATTGCTAAAATGACAGCAATTCGATTTTTGATAACCAACCAATTTGGTTTGATTAACATAAAATGAATCGAGGTTCAGTCCTATTTGGTTAATGTATAGACATGTCTAGTATCAATCCAATTCGACCCGCGCATCACCTGAAACACATAGATTTATGTGTCATATAATTCGATTTGGGTAGTGCATCACTTGACCTGAGGCATATGAGTTGCATGGTTGAGAGGGTTCAAAACTAACTCACCCCGACTCACCCCGATTCATGTAGACCCCTAATCATAGTTCATTTTATTGGTCTCCTTTCCTTAAAACTAACGAACACGGAAAGAAAAACAATAAAGTACACAATAGATGTCAAACAACATAAAACAAATTAAAAATTGATAAAAAGCTTATTCTACATTTACATGAGATAAGTGTAAGAAACTATTATCATGCTTTATTAGAACCTTGGTAGGTCCAAACAAATTGGGATTAAAAAATTTTATATTTTCTTGTTATCTAGTTGGCCTTTCTCGCTAAATGGAGAGTGAAGCAGTTGTTGATATCTCATATTATCTCATAATAATATCTTATATTATTAACCATTTTTGTAGTTCGTGATGATTTCCAACAATACTTAGTTACCATTCATCGGTAAAATGGGGGAATGAACATATATTGAGTGAACAATGCACAAATAGGAAAGCTATACGCCTAACCATAAGGACTCGTATAATAAAAACTCTTGGAGAAAACATGTAAAATTTCAAAAAAAAAAAAAAAAAAAGAATCATTGAATAATAACATTCAACTTGTTGTGAGTGAGGAAGAGAGTTAGAAGGTTATCGATCGAGCACAACTTTGACTTGGATCATGAAACATACAATGAATTAACTGCTACATAGAGTGATTGCATATCCATATGATAAGCGAATTCAACAGTAAAAGTGAACGCATACATATGATTATTATTCATAAGCCTAACATGTACAACACCTTACCTCTAATTCACTAACAAAAAAAAAATTCATTGTCCATACAACTTAAGACACCACTAATCGTTGTCTCTTGCAAGTCCAATATATTAAGAAAAAATAAGAACATTCATAATATAATTTGTTGGATCCAAGTTCTATCAACCAGTTAATTCGTTGGATACACAAATCCGATCAAGTAAAGATGGAAGCAAAATGATAGAATTGTAGCAATCACTTATATATGTAGCAAAACTTAACAATTGAACAGAGGAACAAATTGACCAAATCCAAAGCAATATAAAGCACTAAGTTTCATGACCAACAACCACCAATAAGACCACGTTGTAAATTGGAAAAAGAAAGTAAGATGTGCACAGTGAGCAACATATATTAGCATATGAATTTTCCTCATTATTAAAAATATTCAGGTTTCATTTTCTTGAAATCAAATTGAACCGTTTAAGCCTCTTAATAGTTCATTTTAAAGGATATTACTTGTTCAAATTTTTCGGTTTTTATTTTTGATTTGATGTAATTACTGAAATCAATCTCCCATCCTAGTCATACATATAACAACTTTGATCAAATAATAAAGACCTTTTCTTTTAATATATTTGAGTGTATGTGAGGGATGGGGTAAGATGACAAACCCTTTCATCCTCGCTAAAGTTCAGGTAATTCTTTACTACATTTTCACAAACCTAAAGAACTTGAATATATCATTTGTCTGTGGTATCCTATTCGTGATTTTCAATGGTTTAACCCAATCACACAAAGAGTTTTCCTGAGAGTAGTTGACACCTGACCTGATTAGTAATAAAAAGAAAATGAATTCATCATCAAGCCCTTTCATCCTCGTTAAAGTTCAGTTAATTCTTTACTACATTTTCACAAACGTAAAGAACTTGAATATATCCTTTGTTTGTGGTATCCTATTCGTGATTTTCAATGACTTAACCCAACCACACAAAGAATTTTCCTGAGAGTAGTTGACACCTGACCTAATTTGTAATAAAAAGAAAATGAATTCATCATCAATGTTTACTTCCCTCATAGCAACAATGAAAAAATCAATTAATTAAGATTTTGGATAATCTGAAGACTAAAATGAAAGATGGCAAAGTGTGCCATACATAGGACTATCAGTTCGGATTCAATTTCTGGAATTTCAACTAAACGAACAGATAAGGTGCTCTTATCGTTTTTTGGTTTCGGTCTCAAACTTTTTGTGCTTAGCATTTTTTGTTTGGTCAAAATTGAAAAACTGAAAACAATAAAAATAAAATCACAACCAATACACAAACACTCAATATTCAATTAAGCCTTGGGTTTCATTTTCTTGAAATCAAAATGAACCCGCTTAAGCCTCTGGTTTCAAGGAAATTATTTTACTCGATTTTATTTTCGACTCGATTCGGCTAAACAAAGAAATCTTCCCCTTTGTTATATATACAATATCTTTGACCATATGATAAAGTTTTTTTTTAATATATTTGAGTGTGTGAGGGATGGGGTAAGATGGCAAGTTCTTTCATCCTCACTAAAAGACAAAAATTGAAATAGTAACTTTGGCAAAAAAGGGTACCTAGCTTTTATATATAAGATAAAGCCTTGGGTTTCATTTTCTTGAAATCAAAATGAACCCGCTTAAGCCTCTGGTTTCAAGGAAATTATTTTACTCGATTTTATTTTCGACTCGATTCGGCTAAACAAAGAAATCTTCCCCTTTGTTATATATACAATATCTTTGACCATATGATAAAGTTTTTTTTTTAATATATTTGAGTGTGTGAGGGATGGGGTAAGATGGCAAGTTCTTTCATCCTCACTAAAAGACAAAAATTGAAATAGTAACTTTGGCAAAAAAGGGTACCTAGCTTTTATATATAAGATAATGGTGTATGTTGGTTCTTTATCTAAGGTTTAGATCTAACATTATCTTTGCAATAAAGAACATGATCAGATTTAATAGAGACGGATGCAATCAAATGGAAATAAATCAATCAGATCTTACTTCTAGGTGATTTTGTTAGGGGAATTTTGAATGAAAGCGGCAAAGCAATAGGCAAGTAGTTGTAACAGCAAGTTTCAATCATTCATATACACAGATTTATCATGAAAGATGGCTTCAATCATATACATAAACACAAAACCAGCATAAAAAGATGTCCATTATTTCGTTCTGCCATGTTTCTAGATATATTGGGTTGAATGATTTGCTTATCTATGAATGACATGCGCTTTATTTTGACTTTGGTTGAAGAACTACTAACCTGGTTTCCGTGTGGTGGTTCTCGATGACTTCTTACTCTGCCTTTGCCTTTGTTTTTCCCTAGCTTCTGCTTGCTGCTGCCGTTTCTCTTTTTGACTTCTCGTTAAGATTTCCCTCCAATCAGATCTTTCCAACAAGAACTCATTCTTATTTCTCTTTTGCTGGGTCGAGAATGGGTTGATGAATCTGGCTTTACTAGGTATTTGCTCTTGATGTCTTCATGGTACTTTCTTTTCCCCCTCCCTTTTGAGCTTCTTCTCTTGCTGCTGCTGCTGTTGCTGTTATGTCTTGCCCTTTTTCTCTTTTCTTTTGGTAACCGATCCCCCCAAATCCTCTAAAATGGCCGCCCCCCTTCCTTTGTTGTAGGTACCCCCTTTTGTATTGTTATTTTGCTCTATTGTTAATTGTTTTTGGTGTGTTGGTATGTGTGATTACTAATGAGTGTCTTTTGAGAGGTAGCTGCCCCCTACTTCCCTAGGACGGTGGCCATTCCTGCTGCTGCCCCTTCGGTTGGGATATAGGCAGGGGAAATCTGGTTGACAGGGCTTGATTGTGGACCGAAATGATGGGAGGGTTCTGATTGCTTTCTTCTTCTTTTGCAGGCTTGTAGTTTGTTTTGGGCTTGAAATGATGATCAAAGGAGCCCAAACTGTTAGGACTAGCTGGGCCACCAGATCTGACTAGTGTCATCGAAGAATGAAGACTTGTATATTCTGCCTTTTATGTATGTATAATGTATAATAATGTAGTAATTTGTTTGAACCAACCCATGTATTATTAATCATTATTTATGCTCTTATTATAAAATGTCATTGTTCTTGTATGTTTAGACAATCATTTGATAATAAAGCTTGGTTCTCTTAATCAAATTCGATCACTTACATTCATCA